TGCCCCTCCAGAGTGAATGGGAAGTACCTCAGCTGGATGGCATCTGCTGGTACCCCATTGATCTTGATCCCATCGATGAGCTCGTGGAATCGCCTGAGATGTGATCGAGGGCACTCTCCCTCCTTACCACGGAACACTACTGAACCGCGCAGCATGGTGATCACGGAGGTGCTCACCTCAAAGTTGTTGGATGGGACCTGAGGGTGTTGAATGGGTGACCTCATGTCCGCAGCCCTAGCGGTCCAGTAGGATCCCATGGTCTGCTCCCCGGGGATCACATCGTGGTTCTGCGGATCACCCATCTCTCCTTCTTCTTCTTCTTCTCCTAACTGCAGTTGTGTTAGCGCCTCCTCCGCAGCCAGTCGCGCCTTTAGAGCCCGCTTGAAGTTCCTACAAGTTCGTTCAAGCTCCTGGTCTAATGGTAGTAGATCTCCCGACTGGCTACGGGTCATGCACTACCTGCACACAATCAGCAGAAGCAACCCGTGAAGGCACACAGGTGGAAGAGATAAAATGCAGTAAATAAAAGCTAGAGTAACAAATTCTCACGTTTCCCCAATAATCTAGAAGTCTCCCCAGCAACGGCGCCAAAAACTTGACACGCCAAAACACAACACCAAACTGCGACCAAGTGTAATCGCAGTCCGGGAATGCAGTAACAAGCAAGTTTAATTATCAACCCGGGGTCTAGATCTACTGCTTACTCCGTGATTCTCTATTATCTAGCAAACTAGTTCGAGTGATTGTTGTGAAAAGTAAAAGCAACAAGAAAGCAGTAAATTGTTCGGTTTCTAAAGCAGGCAAGAGTCACTCGGGATTGAGTCCCCCTAGCCCCTTAGTTAGGTTCAATTGCAATTCCCTGGGTTGATTATTTACTGTTGATTAGACTGCGGAAGATCCGACAGTAGCTTGGAATCTCTTAAGCTGACCAAGCCCTCTCAGTCTAACTACCCGGCAGACGACTAGTCTTCACCGGGATAGAAAGCTGAGGCTATGAACACAGAACTCCACTACTGGCGCCAAGAACACCAGTACAAAGCAGTAAACTGGCTAACTCTCGTATAGCCAATCTCCTACTATCGAATGAAGAGGCTCTAACAACCTAATCAGATTCTATCTATCTCAGATTGCAGCAGAAATTAAGAAAAGCTGATCAGACTCAAACCAATTCATTAAACATGCGTCATTCGATTAAAATCAAACAGTAATATCATCCCAAGTCATTACAATCAAATCCCTAACACAAGGAACTAGGGTTCTTCATACCCAAGTGAGAGAAGGGTTCTACTCCATAGAGAGAGAAGAGAAAACAAGAATCGGATTAGTCATACTCATAACGATGAGGATAATCTGCTCCGGGACGATGATTTCCACTCCTATGACGATCTCCAAGATCGATTCGATGAAATCCAGCTCTAAGACAGCTTCTAGTATGTGTTCTTCGCACTTTCTCTCTCTAGGGCTCTGTTTTTTGCTCTGAAAACACGATTCTCCCACTTTTGGCTCGGAATAGGCTCTAAAACCAGGAATTCCCGACTCGCACGGCCAGGGTGCACGGCCGTGCAGATCACCCACTTGGCCGTGCACTCCAAAACGCGGCGTATCAATTAGTTCGACCTCAGGCTTCTCGCACGGCCAGGGTGCACGGCCGTGCAATCTTCAGGGTCTGCCCGTGCATGGCCTCGGCATAAAGCGCACGGCCATATTGCTCACGTGCACGGCCGTGCGTCTCCCAGGTCTGCCTGTGCAGCTCCCCAAAAACCTCGCCATTCGTCCGTTCTTCGTCCAATTGACCCCAGACTCGCTCCTAAGCCTTCATTCACGTACTAGGACCTGAAATATCACAAACAAGCACAACCTAGCGTGAAATCGGCCTAAAACACGAGAATCAACACCTCAAATGGTGTAAGAACGGGGTAAAAACATGTGTAAATGACGGTCTATCAAACTCCCCCACACTTAACCGTTTTCTTGTCCCCAAGCAAACCAAGTCAGACACTAGGTAAGCTTACATATTTCAATCAACCAACATTGGGGACAAGTCATAAAGGCACAGAACACGTGAATCGCATTGGTTTTCAAACATCAATACGTTCACAACCTCAATAACAACCTGGACAACCACCACAAAGGACATTCGAGTGCAGCAAATCGAGTAAAGGAAGAGTCTCCCTTCTGTTCACTGGCCAACCTAGACTTGATTCAACCACTTACTCAAAACAGTCAACTCATGCATCCAACTCAAGACATCAGAATAGAGACCGAGCAATCTAGGTCCTCACCGGGGTACAAGAGCATATAGAAAATGAAAATGAATCACTCACTCTCGACCAGTGGGGTCAGGACAATTTGATGCGAAAGATGCGCATGCTATTTCTCTCAATCCCTATCATCTCTTCACCATGATGGCAGCCTCTAAATGCTAGAGTTCACATATGGGGTGTCACCACTAACTAATCAGGAGGTCTTAGACACAGGTTCAAATGACTGGCTAGGGTCTTGGACATGGGGAAAAGGCCTTTTAGGTGGTGGAAGTATTCATAGCAAAAGGTTCCACATTCTCCAAACACACAATCACCGTCAAACAAACCGGTATTTTCTTTCTGCTATTCTGCATTACTCAACATCTCAAGAGCACAAGAGCAAAGGAGGCATAAACATCAGCATTTCCAAGCCAGACTGCTAAGAAACACTACTTAATGGGCATTATTCAGATTTTTGGTAGTGGCTCTCTTTTGCTTTCAATTTTTCTTTGTTTTTCTTTCATTTTTCTTTTCATTCCTTAAGAGAGCCACCAATTCTGCATAAATTTCAAACACCTGCCCAACTTTTAAGCACTACCTCCAATACTCACATAGACTTTAGCAGAAACAGCAGAGAATATATAAAAACCACTCTGTGGAACCTTCTAAAAGATGCAACAAGGGTGATTTTTTTTTTCCATTATAGACCAAAAGAAAGGATAACACACGGCTCAAAGGGGCTGACTAGGGGATATGACACATCAGGACAGTCAGTTTTGGGCGTGGGCTAATCCTATGCCCCCATCATCTTAGCTAGTGACAACGTGAATGCTACACATCATGGAAGAGGGATCTATCGCACAAGAAAGAAACGAGCAGGCTCAAATCTCACATGGCTACCTATATGCTCTATCTCACATTCTGATACCCTGAACTAGATGCATAAACGACTGTCAAGAACAAGTAATCAGATCAAGTCAGATCAAGTCACAGTTGGCAAGAAAATAGTCGAAAAACTGAACCCCTACATCGTTCTACTGCACATCTCAGTCCTCATCATAGGTTGTCCTAGTCGCAAACAAGTTGTCATGCATTAATCCGAAAACCAATCAATTCATCCATCAAAACACAGTGCCAATATGATCAAACAGCAGTACTTGGAGCCCTCAAATCGTAAGATTCGGACAGCGGACTAGGCTCCAAGCACCATCATAAATATTCCAACCGATACAAAGCACCCCCCCACACTTAAGCACGACATTGCCCTCAATGGAGTAGAGGGAAAGATAAGGGGAACGATGTTACCGGGTAAGAACACTGCTGGGGGACTGGAAGGGGACCAGTCAGCGAGAAACGAACGGGAGAGTGGACAATGCTGCACAAATCGAACACCAGAAACACACTAGCACACCGTGCGTTAGGGATAAGTGTTAGCCCAGACGGCTCGGAATAGGCTCTAAAACCAGGAATTCCCGACTCGCACGGCCAGGGTGCACGGCCGTGCAGATCACCCACTTGGCCGTGCACTCCAAAACGCGGCGTATCAATTAGTTCGACCTCAGGCTTCTCGCACGGCCAGGGTGCACGGCCGTGCAATCTTCAGGGTCTGCCCGTGCATGGCCTCGGCATAAAGCGCACGGCCATATTGCTCACGTGCACGGCCGTGCGTCTCCCTGGTCTGCCCGTGCAGCTCCCCAAAAACCTCGCCATTCGTCCGTTCTTCGTCCAATCGACCCCAGACTCGCTCCTAAGCCTTCATTCACGTACTAGGACCTGAAATATCACAAACAAGCACAACCTAGCGTGAAATCGGCCTAAAACACGAGAATCAACACCTCAAACGGTGTAAGAACGGGGGTAAAAACATGTGTAAATGACGGTCTATCATCGTTCTTGATAAAATTCTTCATGTGACTCCAGTTGTCGGCCGAATAATAGACTTCACATCATAGTAACAATCATGAAAGTTGTACATTTACCTTATGGTAAAAGTTCAATTGAACTTGTACCTGTACCTAATGGTCTAATTGAACTTGGACATATACCTTATAGTAAAAATTCAATTGAACTTGTACCTGTACCTTAATGGTCTAGTTGAACTTGGACATATACCTTATGGTAAAAGTTCAATTGATCAACTTGTACCTATACGTTAATGGTCTAATTGAACTTGTACCTATATACTAATGGTCAAATTGAACTTGTACATATACCTTATTGCTCAAATTGAACTTGTACATATACCCTATGATAAAAGTTCAATTGAACTTGTATTTAAATGTATATAAATTAATAATAATTTGATAAAGAATCAACAGGTTAATTATGCTAATTTGAGGATTGTTTTCTTTTTAAAAAATGAAATAGTGTAAGTAAATTATTATACTCTGATTAAGCTAATTAAATATAGATATTGATTAAATATTAATAAAAAAATTAGTGTAGCTTAATTGGTTAAGTATGTTGTCTTTTATTTGGAGGACACAGACTTACACTACAAAAAAAATGACCTGTGCCAAGGGTTTAGTAACAGGGGTTGAAACCCTTGCTAGGATTTTTGAAATTCATTGTAGCAACTGTTTGTTGCATGAGTTCTTAACAAGGTTGTCAATACCGTCACTACAAATAAATGGACATACGGCACCGCTTTATTGCCAGCGGTTACCATAACCCTTGCGTCATCTGTGCGGATTTTACCTATGCCAGCAGTCTGATTCGGGGGTTTAGAGACCGCTGAATATTTTGGATTAACAAAAATATAAATTCCCGGCAAATGCCAAAAACCCACTCTTCTCCTTCACTACTTTTTCTCCCGAAAAAAAATCCCCAACCCTAGATTCAGATACCGCCATTTTCTTCTCTAGCGTGCCGGAATTCATCGGCGCCAGAATAGAATTCATCAAAGGTTCTGCTTAGAACGATACCATTTCCTCCTGATCCGCTTACGATCGCCATCGACAGTTGTTCTTATTCGTCGATTTCTCATTAGCGGCGGCGGGGGAACTCATAGCCTCATCGGAGCAGCTGCATTATCTCGTGATCGCTCTGCGAACAATTCAAGATCTGGCGCACCAGGTTGCTCGACAAGGTACGTGACTCTGAGTTCTTGTGCGAGATCGCTCAGGGGATTTGTGCGTTGGGACGAGCAGAGTGGGTGGCGGTCCTAGGCAAGTGAAAGCATACGTTATGGAGGGAGGATGAATTATAGGTTTTGTATAGGTGTAGTAGTCTTTTCCTGATGCAAATGCCAAGTTGGAGCCATTGCATGCGATGGTTCCCTGTGAGACATGTCGATTAAAGCCATGTTGGTGTGCATTTTTGGGTTCGTGGCTACAGTGGTATGAATGGTTCTATAATCTATGTACTATACGGTTAATTTGGGTTTAAAGAAGTCTATGAAGGCAAGGTCTCCCAAGTTCAGGGCGGGTGATGTGTCGGCACCCGGATATCTACACTGACGGCGGGATTTTGGCTCAGGGATTGATGGGATACTGTTGCAGGAGAAGGAAGCGGTGGAGATGCTGAGGAAGCCAACAAGTCCAGTCAAAGTCTTGAACAAGGCCACGAGAGGTATTTAGTTGATTTTAAGTTCAATCCGGAAGTGACTCTGTTCTCAGCTTCCATAATCATTCGCAATAGTCGCCTAATCTTTGTTATGGCGTAGTAATTTAGGGGATCAAGTATCAGAGTCATTAGTGGGGAAACATGAGTGGTGGCAGTGGCAGTGGAGAGCAGAAAGGGTCTGGTTTAGGTATTATGACTTGGTTTAACATTTAACACAACTGTTGCTTGTACAACGACCCTTCCTCTGAATTCCCCCATGACTCTTCATTCTCATTTTTTCATGTATTAGAAGAAGGAAAGAGTTCGAGTGAGCATGCAGTAGTTGGGGGAAGGGGGGGAAGGCAGCTAGCACAGAGTAAAAGGGCACTAGTGATCAATTTAGGTGATTGATTGATTCCTTTCCTAATTGAATGCTTGTCTGCGTGCTTATGCTCTCTTCCTTTCCTAATTGGTTTCTTGTTCAATGTCGGCATTGTCGTCGGTGAGTTCTTGCATCATCTGCTTGCTTCTGACTTTCTTTAGCAATTGGCTCTAAAGACGCGTACTTGATGACTTCAATTTTTTTGTTTATTGATACAGAAAGATCAGACACAAGCGTTCATTTGCTAGTAAGGGAAAAGGTTATGATGTGGTTTCGAAAGCCAAGGTCACCGTGTGTTTTATTTCTGCTTTCTACTATATGTGCTGCAGCAGCTAGCTGCTGATTGTGCAACGATCTTCTTCTCCCATGCTAACTATACTATATTTGGAGTGTTAAATTGTGCAACGATCTTCTTCTCCTATGCTGCAATTTTTTCCTTACCATGCTATCTAACCCAATATATCATGCACTTCCATTAGTTGTACCTAAATTGACTTTTGCTTCCTAAATTGCAGCTCTCTTGATCAAAGACTGTCATCATTGAAAGGTATCATATACATCTTTTTTTTTTGTCTTGTGTATATGTCCAAAACTCTGTGAATGCAAATTACAGTTCAGGCACTCCTTAAAATATTACCATATCATTTGATCGATTGTTTTTCATTACAAATTTTAACATTCAGAGCATGGCCACCAAGTTTATTTGCAATCACCAACTCCACGAACTTGATTGTGAGAGCCCAAGAGGGAATAACTTAAATCTAGGAAACACGAGAGAGATGAGAAATATATTGAGAGAAGTGTTTCCTTCATTCAGTTTATGTTTATTGCTTTTTATCTTATCTGGTTTACGTTAGAGAACTGCCTGCTGGATCTCATATGGTATCTACTTGCATAGTGATATTGTGCAAATATTGGATTGATTCAATTAACTCTTCTAGGGATGTCTTGCTAATTGGTCTTTTTTCATATGAAGCAGTTTATGTTGATGACATCCCTTCCCCTGCAAATTACCTTGTTTATCAGGTGTACTAGTATTTCCCAGATCCAAATCCCCAAGTTAAAGCTATTGCAGGAATGCTTCCTGATGATATAGCTCGATTCAAGCCATGTAGACTTTGTCAATACTTCAGGGACTTACAAGGAGGCAGAGTAAGCTATTGGGTTTCATTTTAATAAGCAGGATTTGGTTTCATCAAAGTCTAAGGTTGCTACTTGTGATCATTTGTTCCTGTTTCTGGGCTACCTATGTATGAATCATATTCCCTTGCAGGATATCTTAACAAAGAACTGTCAAGTATATACTCAAACGGGAACAGAAAACAACAACAGGGGATGTGGATAAACTGTGGCGGTCAAATACACAACGGGTATGTGATTCTTGCTAAATTGCTAAGTAAAACGTGGATACAACTTATGCTTTAAGTAGTCAATTGTTTCAATTATATTATTGTAATAAGAAAGGATCGATAAATTAACCTAACAAATTCTTGCACTTGCTGCAAAATGTTCTCTTGAGGTGTTATGTAATTCACAGGTGCTAGTTCCAGCACATGCACCCAGCCTCAGGTATAGTCTTCTTACACTTACCATGGAGAATAATGAATGGAACCAAGTGAAATTCATTTCCCATTTCAACTTAAAAGAAATTTGGACATATCAAATCATAGAGATTGGGAAAGTTGGTGTTTGTATGACAATGTGGTTGGTAAGACACTTCTTGTAGAATTAGGGTGTGTAGCTCTAATCACATTAAGCTATCGTACAAGACTCTAATAAAGGTCATCTACGTTTGCGTTCAAGACGTGACTTATATTGATTTTGGTTGGTTTTGTAACAGGTTAAGAGGGCATACAGTGCATTAAATGATGTGGGGTGATTTAGAAGGAAAGGAATTTTTACACTGTGGATCTTGCTGGAACTTATCTATGTTCAAGTATGATAATCTTGATTTTATTGTGAATTGTGAGTTGTAAAATGTCAAGCAAATACCTTTTGTTGGATTTCCTTCTGTTAATTTGTTTTATAAGTAATATGTAACCTGGAATGGAACTTAATTATTTGAATTTTAATGTATGGTTAATATAAAGTATCTACCTTCCAGCTAATAAGAAACGTAAATATTTGCCGAAAATTCACTCTCAACTTTTAGCGACGCTTTTCAGAATCGTCGCCAAATTCGTCGTCAAAAAGTTTTTCAGCGATTTTAGCATGGGAAATGTCAGGGGTTAAGAACAAATGCAAGACCCCTGCATGGACATACACCAGGGGTTTAGATGACCGCAGGCGTAACTTTGCAGCAGTCGGATTTGCGGCGGTTTTACAAGGGTTGGGAAATCCGCTGGCGGGATTTCTAGCGTGGGTTTTAATCGTTGCTAAAGCCCAAGAAAACCCCTGCCGTAGGCAATATACCTTGTAGTGCGTTGTGCTGGTTTGGCAAGTGGAATGGTACGACCGGTGGTATAACCAGTTTGTACCGGTTTATGTCGGTTTAAAAAAATGTGAAAACAACTAATATTCAATCTATTTAATCATATATAAAACATATTTGTGGACAATTTAGTTACAATCCAACAAATATCATCAACTTTTAACTATTACATTCATAAAATGAATAATATAATAATTTTTTTATTCATTAAATTCATTAAAATGATATCATTTTACTTCGAATGTGTAAGTCGATCATACCGGTCATACCGGTAGTGTCATGCCGGTTTCATGACCGGCACAGGTTGAACCAGGTTCCACCGGCATGACAACCATGGTTCTTAAACCCTTGCTAGCCTTAAAGTGATGGGCTCGTTTACTGAATTCCTATTTAACGCCCTAATTTTTTAAAATTTTCGCCCTAAATTAACTAAACAGACGATTCTACCCCGCTAGCCACAATCTCTAAAATGTCAGTCGTGGCCCTCATGAGCGCTATAATTATTTCCTGTCGTCGCCACATTCATCGTCGCTGTCGGAGCCCTATGATTCTTCCCCGTCGCCGCCACATTCCCAGTCGCCGCCACAAGCCATATTATTCTTCCCCGTTGCCGTCAGCATCCACCGCTCGAGAATGAAAGAAATATCTCCGGGGAAGTCATCGTCGTTGCCCGTCGCCTTGCTCTGCTATTGCAGGTGTTCGACGAAATGCGCAAGAGAGGGATCGAACCAGATGTGACCAGTTTCTCCATCGTGCTCCACGTCTATAGCAGGGGCGCATAAACCTGAACTCACTCTGGAGTGGATGAAGGAGAAAGGTATTTCCCCACTCTTGGCAACCTATACTTCAGCAGTGAAGTGCCTCTGCTCGTAGGGGAGGCTTGATGATGCGGAGAAGCTGCTCGTTGAGATGGTAGTAGTGGGGTGAGTCCATCCGCCACAATGTACAATTGCTTTTTAAAGAGTATCGCGGGAGGAAGGATGTCGATGGTGCTCTAAAGCTGTACAGAAGGATGTGGGATGATGATCAATGTGCACTGAGTTCTCGTACCTATAGCATTTTGTTGGATATGCTGGGTTTGTCGCTCGTCGTCGGGCTTTGCTGCTGCCGAGCGATGGTGTGGCCGAAGAAAGCACTGGTCTTCTTCCTCCTCCTTCCTCGACTGCGAAAAACCCAGCATATCATAGGAGTAGGAAGGAGCAGGGGAGCAGCCTCTGTGAGGACTCCCTTCCAGGGTGAACGGCGGCGATGATTTCTAGTGCGACGGGGGGCTGACGGCAGGGGATTAGGGCGAGCACTTTTGGAATTTTGGTTAGAGATTGGGGATTTTTTGGGGGCAAAAAAGTCAAGTTGTTAAATTAGGGCGACAAAATTTAAAAAGTTAGGGCGTTAATTAGTACCTCTCCTCGTTTAAAGGGGTAGCATCGTTTTTTAATGTGGGAATTATAAAGGGGAGGGCTCGTTATTCAGTGAAGGAATTATAAATCTAAAATACGAATGAAGTACGATCCGGCTCCCAAAATAATGAACTGATGAAGTCGGTCCCTGTCTCCCTCCGCTCTAGCTCCGGCTGAAAGTCGATTTGGTCTCCTTCCACACTCGCACTTGCTCCAGCTGAAACTCGATCCCGGTTTCCCTCCGCACGCGCTCCCGCTGGAAGTCGATCCTGCTCCGTCTGAAATTCGGTCTCCCTCCGCACTCGCTCTCGCTCCGGCTGAAAGTCGATTCGGTCTCCCTCCACACTCGCTCCTCCTGAAGGTCGATCCCGTCTCCCTCCGCACTTACTCCGGTTGAGAGGTGATTCTCTGATTCCCTCGCTCTCTCCTTCACTCGTTCTGGCGAGCGTCCTTCATTCTGGTCCCGACTCCGCCTCTCACAGCGTAGTTCGGCGACGACAAGATCATTTGCGTTTCCTCCCAGATCTTCCGCAACTTAGTGTGTAAGAACCAGAAATAAATGTTTGTTCTTTTGTAAGAGCAGACTCACATGACGATGCAACTCATAGGCGCACGTCAGATTACCTTTGCTAAACCAATCCCTTACATCTTCACAAATAACTCTAGCGATCTTAACATGCATAACACTGCTGTGAAGCTCGGCATCCATCGTCGTCAGAAGCCACCCTTTTATCAGCTCATCATGACGCAGCCAAGTAAGAGATTACGGGGACCCATCGGGCGGACGAGGATCAGAACCACCAATGAAACCAACCTTATTCTTGGTAACAAGGGCATCCGTCATCTCAAGTAACCACTCGCCATAATTCGACGAGGTCAACAGGCTACTGACTTGAAGATGTCCTATGGAATCAGAATTATGAATGAAAAACGGGTTGTGAACGTCGATGTCTTTGTCACTAGAACCAGAGCTAGCAGACTTCGACATAGGCGGCGTTTCGAGAGAGGAATCACCACCAGACATAATCTACTATGATGAGAATCACAGCTCCGATACCATTGTACATGGGCGCTGAGCCGTGCTTGAGCCGGCACGGGCACGATTCAGGCCCATTTATTTCGTATCGTGCCGTTAAAGCCCATTTGTTAACTTTGCTAGGCCCAACCCAGGCCCGAGCATGGTTGGAATCGTATTGTGCCTATTCGTGCTCGTATTCGTGTCTAATGAAAAGGAAGAAAATAAAAGAGAGAATGAAAAAGAAGGTGAAAATTGAATGAAGAAAGATAGTATTAACCGAGAATATTTGAGAAAAGTAACAAATAAGGGAAAAAAGAAAATTGGAAGTATAGCGAGTGTGATTTGGTTTTGTTTAATTCTTCGTCCATTTTTACTTATGGTAGTAATTACGTATATATCTTTTTGACACTTCTAACAACAACAAATGATTATTTTTCTACATGTATTTTGTAATATTTGAACCTATAATTCTTTCTATATCTATTTTCTATCAAATAAATGTTATTTTTGTGCCATGTCTGTTCTTATACTCAATAAAATCTCAAAAATATTACACCC